ATCTTCCAGTCTTTTCAGGAGGCCCCCCAGAAGTAATGGCGGTATGGGTGCATCATTCAGCAAAGACCTTTGCTCTAGTCCGCAGCTGCCTGTCATCAGTATTCTCACGCAGCTTCGGCAGGATCGCGTGCAGTGCTCGCCTGATGCATGCAAAGAGAATTAGCTCGTCTGTGACTCCTGCTTGGCAGGGGCACTGGGCCAATATAGAAGGGGCAGAGGTGTTTTAAACATTTGATTGTTCCCCACATCCAAAGTGGGGTTCTTGTTTTCTCTGCGCGCGCCGCGCAGGGTCTCACACACCCCCTTTCCTCTCTCTCTCTCTCTCTCTCTCTCACGCCATCATCACCGTCATCATCGCCATCAACCACCATCGTCGTCATCACACGCACGCACTCATCATCATTCCCAACATCATTACCATTAACCACCATCACCGTCACCACTAGTCATCATCATCATCCTCAGCATCATCGTCACCATCATCGCCACTCGATCACTCACTCACTCACTCACTCAATTACTCACTCATCCTCAGTAGGCTTCGGAGGCAGTGGTCCTCCGACGGTAGGACCGCCGCCACTCTCAACATCATCGTCACCATCTCCATCATAATCTCTCGATCACCCACTCAGTGGCCATCATCATCATCATCCTCATCATCCTCCTCCTCCTCACCATCACCATCATCATCACTCATTCATCACACACTCATCATCATCATTCGCTCACTCATCATTTCGTCATCAGGCGGGAGCCTCTGAGTGAATTGCGAGGAAGTCACAGGCGGGAGCCCAATCCTTATGGGGCCCGCAGATCATGTTACCAATCCGAGCGGGTCATCGGAACCTTGTAACCGTCGTCACTTGTGGGCCTCTGAGGCTTGAGTGTGCAGGAAGTATCAGGCGGGGGCCTCGTCTGTGAGTGAATTGCGAGGAAGTCTCAGGCGGGAGCCCCCTCCCTATGGGGCCCGCAGATCATGTTATTAATCCGAGCGGGTCATCGGAACCTTGTAACCGTCGTCACTTTTGGGTTCTTGAGACCTGAGTATGCAGGAAGTATCAGGCGGGGGCCTCGTCTGTGAGTGAATTACGAGGAAGTCTCAGGCTGGAGCCCCCTCCTTATGGGGCCCGCAGATGATGTTATCAATCCAAGCGGGCCATCGGAACCTTGTAACTGTCGTCACTTTTGGGCCTCTGAGGCTTGACTATGCAGGAAGTATCAGGCGGGGGCCTCGTCTGTGAGTGAATTGCGAGGAAGTCTCAGGCGGGAGCCCCCTCCCTATGGGGCCCGCAGATGATGCTATTAATCCGAGCGGGTCATCGGAAACATGTAACTGTCGACACTTTTGGGCCTCTGAGGCTTGAATATGCAGGAAGTATCAGGCGGGAGCCTCGTCTGTGAGTGAATGGCGAGGAAGTCTCAGGCGGGAGCCCCCCCCCTATGGGGCCCGCAGATCATGTTATTAATCCGAGCGGGTCATCGGAACCATGTAACTGTCGTCACTTTTGGGCTCTTGAGGCCTGAATATGCATGAAGTATCAGAAGGGCACAAAGCGCTTCGAGCCGGGGGACCCTCTGATCGCGTTCTTGGGCTGCATGCGCGAGGGCAAGCGCTTCCCACCAGAGGTCTGGTCTGCCTGGGAGAAGACGTTGGCCTCGGACAACCACGGCGTCCTGGACCCACGGCGCCAGCACGAGAATTTCCGGCTCGGCTACGGCATGGGCATCTACTGGGAGACGCTGGCGAGGTGGATCAACACGCGCGCTCGTCGCGACGCGCGGCGCCTCGGCGCCCCCTTCGTTTTCCTGCAGACCGTAGACGAGTGCGGCGCGATTCAAGGCGACCCAGACGCAGGCCGGCGCCTCCTGAACGTCCCGAACACGCACAAGACGGGAGACATCCACGGCGTCTTACCGGCACACGTCGGCATGGAGGTCCGGTTCACGGCCGCGCAGGAGGAGCTGAAGAAGAAGTTGGGGCTCGTGCAGGAGCAACGGGCCACCATCGTGTCCTTCGAGTTTCACGCAGACGACGAGCGGGACTACGAGGAGCGCGCGCCAGGCCAGCTCTTCCGCCCCCGCTTCCTACCGCAGGGAATCTGGCTGCAGGTGCACGGCTTCCAGAAGTCCCCGATCTACAAGGAGGTCGCCGAGGTGCTGCTGCAGGGCGCCGATGGCTCTGCCGACGACGGCGAGGCCGAAGCGCGGGCGAGGAGCTTGCTCATGTTCAGGCCCAGCGAGCAGGAGTTCACGTGGCAGAGCTCGGGGGCGCACACTGTGCGCCGCTCGGGGTTCACCCTGACGCATGCGCCCTACCTCGGAGCGTGAATTACCTACCCCGCTTTCGCTTCCAGGAAAAACCAAGTCATGCCGCGCGCCTCCTCGTCAAGCGACCTGACCAGTACAGGCCGTAGTTTGGCATCGCTTGGTATCTCTTGGAAGCGAGGGTGGTCAAAAGCGAGGTAGGTTTGCGTTCCCCCTACTACCTGACCTCCACGCTGTCGCAGGGCCAGACGCTGCGCAAGGGCGTCACCGTCGACTGCGCCAGGGATGAGGACGCTGGCCGCGCGGGCATGTCGGACGAGATGTGGTGGCTGCACCTCTACGTCATGTTCTCCCGCGCCACGTGCGTGCGGAACATGCTGATCCTGCGGCCGCCCGCGCGAGAGTTCCTGGAGCGCGGGCCGCCGGCGTCGCTGCGGAAGGCGCTCCGGGAGTTCGACAAGAGAGCGGTGGTTTCGAGGGCTGAGGCGGAGCAGCTCGCGGCAGAGCTGGGCTTCGTGCTGCCGCCCGCCTGAGCGCCGCGGCGCGCGCCTAGAGGCCCGCGGGGTTGTCCCAACGGCTGGCTTCCGCCCCCCGCGGCCTGCGAGGTTGCCCCGACGGCCTGGCCCGAAGGGTTGCCCCGACGGCTTCGCGATCTAGCCGTCGGCAAACGCGCGCGTGCTGGCCGACGCGGCGACGGCGCCGAGGAAAATCGAGTTGCTTGCCACGACCAGGGGAAACGGGAGGTGCGCATGGAAAAAAAGCAGGAGGATGAGGAGGGAAGGGGCATGGGGAGGGCGACGACGAGGAGGAGGTGGCGCGAGAGGAGGAGGAGGAGGAGGAGGAGGAGGAGGAGGAGAAGTAGGAAGAGGAATAGAATGAGGAAGAGAGGGCAGTGCAGAGGGTGAGAGGAGAGGGTGTCCGCCAGGGGGAGGAGGAAAGGGCAAAGGGTGAGCTAAACAGATTATCATGCGGGGTCCTACCGTCGGAGTAATTTTATCTCTCCCTTCGCTGAGGCCCGCTTGTTTGTATCCATTTGATCAAGTTCCTCCCCCCTTCGTTCCCAGGGTGCATCATTCAGCAAAGACCTTTGCTCTAGTCTTCAGTTGCCTGTCAATGCTCTCGCGCAGCTTCGGAAGGATCGTTTGCAGTGCTCGCCTGACGCATGCAAAAATAATCAGCTCGTCTGTCACTCCTGCTTGGCAGGGCCACTGGGCCAACATAGAAGGGGCAGATGTGGATAAGTAGCGCCCGAGCCTGAGCACGTTCAGCGGTCGTCTCTCGATGGACAACTACATGGAACCAAAGGCGACCCCAGGTGCGCGACGCTTGGGCGAGGTGCGCCGCACGCGCCAGAGGCGCCACGCGCGTCAGGCAACTCTGGGGCCCGAGCGTGCCTGGTGCGCCAGACGCGCCACGTGCTCCGAGTGCGCAAGGTGCGCCGCACACTCCAGCCGCGCCTTGTGCGCCATGTTCGGGGCACGTGCAGAGTGCGTCAGGTGCGCCTGCGTACGTGACAGCACACATCGGGAAACATGTCGGCCCCCGCCGTCCTGGTCGAAAACCAATGCCCATCATTGTGTCTGGTGGGCCTGCGCACACCAGGCCACGCGCCACCACATCCACCGTGATTGTCAAAAACCACTTGACAGTGATCGCGGGATGGCCGCGCATGATCCAGATTTTGCCGCGAGGTGAATGTTGCATTGTTTTTTCGATGATGGTCGCCCTGCGCACAGCAGGAATTATGCTGACACCCCCGCTGCCCCCCTGTCAATGCCATACAAAATGCCCGCGGGCCTCACGAACATGACTCAAGACTTTGGTCCTGAGTGTACTTTGCATGGCTTTTGACAGGGATGGTGGGGGGGGCGCATCGGGTTGGCCGTGCATGTGGAGGCAGGGTGTAGGCCCGCATGGGGTCGGCACGGTTCCGAATTAGCCGCCAGGTGGAGGAGTGGGTGTATATTGATAAGGAACAGTGATCAATCCCTCCCCGAAGGGGATGAGGGGCAGATGGGAAGCAAAACGCCCTACATCACCTACGCCCTAAAGTGCTGGTGGGATTCCAGTCAGAACGCCTGGGGGGAAGGGCGGGGAGTACCGACGTGGGTGCCTTTTGGGCTTCCCTGGGAAGAAGGAGGGGGGAAGGAATAGGGAAGAGGGAGGGGGGGAGTAGGACGGAGGAGGAGGAGGGGGGGGAGGGGAGGGAGGGAGGGAGGGGAGGAGGGAGGGAGGGGGAGGGAGGAGGAGGAGGAGGAGGAGGAGGAGGAGGAGGAGGAGGAGGAGGAGGAGGAGGCGGAGGCGAAGGCGGAGACAAAGGCGGATGAGGAGGAGGAGGAGGGGACGGAGGCGGAGGCGGAGGAGAAGTAGGAGGAGGAGGAGGAAGAAACGGAAGGAGCAGCGAGGAGGAGGGAGCAGGGATGAAGGAGGGGGGAGGCTGGCTGGTTGCCTGGGGAGGAAGGACGAGGAGGGAGGAGGTAGCATTTCTGCAGCGGGACCTATCTGTGATGGCCCCAGGGGGCCCCAGGGCCCGAAGCTGGGCGCACACGCCTGGCAGGAAAAGAATGCAACGCCCCAAATCCGTAGAGCGTTGCATTGTTTCCCTCACGGGCGACGCGCGGCGGCGACAACCCCGAGGTCTTGGCCCAGGATCTCGCGCTGTCGCCGCCGCGCGCCGCCGCGCGTCGCTGGAGGCGTCGCAGCGCGCCGCCGCCGCCGCGCGCCGCCCTCCCAAGGCGTCGCCGTCGCGGCTCCGCCGGGCCCCGCGCCGGCTCCCGCGGCGCCCGCAGCGCCCGCGCGCGCGGCGGCTGCGCCCGCGGCGCCCGCGGTGGCGGCGGCGCCGGCCGCCCAGCGGGCGGGCGCAGCCGCGGAGGCTCGGACCCCATCTAGGAGGCTTCTGAAGGCTCGAGTCGGCGGTCGCACAGGTCAGGGGCACGCACGGGGTGACTGGCTCAGGGGGACAGGCTCAGCCGTTCGAGGTTCGAGATTTGTTTTCTGGAGGTTTTTGATCTCCCTGAGGCGCCCTCGTGGCGCTGGATCCGCCTCGAAATCCTGGTCAGACCGCACCCTTAGAGAGGTCCAGTGGTCGATTCTCGACCACTGATCTGGGGCAAGGTCACGGGGGGATCTGCTCGAGGCTTGAGGTTTTCGGGCTGTTTTCTCATGCGATCGCAGACATGTATAAAGGGGGCTTGGATTAGCGACGGGTCCTGTTTCCATGAGAGATCGCGGATTTCCGCCGAACAGGCGGCACCGACCGTATTTTGGGGAGGGCACTTCCCCACGATCCATGGATTTGGCGACCGCGCGCCAAATCCATGGATTGCTGATACATGCCCATGTTTGCGCGCCCCCGATTTTCGTCGGTTCTCGGCGGCTGGATGCGTCTGAGCAGCTGCGCCTCGCCGAGAGCATCCCGGGGGTGCCCAGGGTCGCCGCGAACGGCCGCCGCAGAGCCGAGTCCTGGCCCGCAAGCAGTGAGCGCCGACAGGGGGGGACCAGGCTCATGATGGGCCTGCCGTCCACCACCATAAAAGTTCAGGCGATGGCAAGCATGGGATCAGGGGGGCGCGGATTGGCGACGGCTCCCGTCTCCATGGGGAGTCGCTGACTCACGCCGCCGAACGAGGCGGCACCGGCCGTATTTTGGGGCGGGCGCCTCCCCCGATCCATGGATTCGGCGACCGCGCGCCAAATCCATGGATCGCTAACCATGCTTGCGCGCCCATAAGTTGGAGGGGGAAGGAGGTGGAGGAGGAGGAGGAGGAGGAGGACCCTCTCCCCCTCCAACTTATGGTGGTGGTGGTGGAAAACAGGCCCATCAGGCTCGGGGGGGGACGCACGGAGCCCTCATCGCCCACTGCTCGCTGAGGGGGGGCCCGATAGCCCGCCCCGCCCAGTAACATGCGGATTCGCTATCGGGAGCCTATCGCCGCGACCACTGCAAGGGTCCCGTCGCATGGGAGACGAGCAGAGTTCGCTCCACGGCCCTTCGGAACCGTCGGGCCCGTCGCCTCCTGCGTGCAGGAATGTCCCGATGGGCCCCAACCTTTGCAAAAACGAGGGTCCGTCCCCCGCTGCCGAGCTCGGCGCTCCTGTGAGCCCCCCCGCCCTCGACGAGGGCTGGAGCCTCCGGGGGCTCGCGCGGGGAGGCGTCCTGGGTTGCTCGGGAGGCCGCCCCGCCCGACCATCCCCCTTCCCTGCTCAGGGCCCTGTGGACCCCGAGCCTGCTCGTGGTCACCGCAGCCTGCTGGATGGCACCGTTTGCACTCTGTCGCCGTTGTGGCGCGCGGGCCCAGCCGACGGCCCCTCGCTCCTGTCGTCTCTGGGGTGAGTACCTGGGCCATGCATCCAGCAAGGATCGTGCGTATTTGAAATCCCTCGAGATTGGTCAGGATTCTATCTCGGGGGAGTGGAAGGGCCATCCCCGTCCTCGCCATGTTTCCGATGATGCCTGCTTTTGGTTTCGTTTTCGGTAATTTGCTCGAGTGTCTTGCCCTTTCATCGTCGAGTTGCGCGGGCTCGCCTTTCCCAATCGTCATCCTTTTCCCCGTTTTCTGTCTCGGCGCGCTCGGATTCGATTTGGTGGTGCCTCCTCCTCCTCCTCCTCCTCCTCCTCCTCCAACTTCTCCAACTCCTCCTTCTCCTCCTCCCCCTCCTGCTCCTCCTCCTCCCGCGCTTCCTCCGAAGGGAAGTGTGTGGTCGCGGGCTTGGCAGGGGCTGGGACGAGGACGATAAGGACGACGACGAGGCCGAGGGCACGGGGAGTACGAGAAGATGAGCAGGAGCACATGGCGAGGACGGGGAGGGACAACTTTCTCCTCTTCCTCCTCCTCCTCCATCTCCATATCCTCCTCCTCCTCCTCCTCCTCCTCCTCCTCCTCCTCCTCCTCCAACTCCTCTAACTCCCCCTCCTCCCTCCACCTCCTCCTCCTCCTCCTCCTCCTCCTCCTCCTCCTCCTCACCCCCGTGCGTCCCCAGGCGGGCCCCGCCGCGCCGCTGGCGCCCGCGCCCGCGCCGCCAGCGCCAGCGCCGCCCGCTCCCGCACCGCCAGCGCGCCCCGCCCCGGGCGGCTTCGAGCGACTGCCCTCCGTGGGGTCCTGGACTGCGGGGGCTCGGCGGAGGCGAAGTCCACACGGAGTGCTGGGTCTCGGCGGCGAGCGAGGCGGCCCTGTGAGAGGTTTCCGGTGTCTTCGGGGAAGGCTTCGAAAACCGTTCAGACGGCCGCGGGGCTTTCGAGCCTTCTGAAAAGGCCCGCCCCTTCTCACTTTCCCCCGGGCGCGCCGCTGGCGGTCCCCATCTGGGCTTACTCCGTCTGGGTTTCCTCCGTCTGGACTTCGCAATTCCTGAGGGGGCCCAGCCTGGGTTAGGACGGGAATAAGATCCGTGCCAGGGCGTTCCCGGAACGCTTTCGGAGAGTTCTGGGACGCTCCGAGGGGGCCGCGGCGCCCGAGACATCCCCTGGAACCGCCAGATCACCGAGATTCTCGACGTATCCCCACCGGGATTTATCCTCGTATTGGCTTTGTCTCAGGGGCGGGGCCCGCTGCTCCCGCCGCCGCCGGTGGCCGCCGCTTTCGCCGTTGCCGCCGCCAGTGGCCGCCGCCTCCGCCGGTTGCCCCCCCCCCTCCCCCCCTTTGTCTCTGTTGCCGCAGCCGGCGCACCTGCCACGCGCAGACGGGGGTAATTACATGGGGGAGGGGGGAGGGGAGGGAGGCTGCTTCGTGGATGGCGTGGGTTCTGTCTGTAGATGTAATGGCCTGCGCCTTCTAAGAAGCAGCCTCCCTTTAAAGGCTTCCCTCCCTTCCCTTACAAGCATCCCGCACAGTAAGGATGAGCGACCTTCCAAGGTTGCCCTTGCATCCTTTCCCCCCAGCCCATCCTTGGCCGCTTTCGCTGGCCGCGCCCCGCTCGCAGTGTGTCGACATGGCATTCCAAGGCCCTCGCATCCGAACTCCGAGCTTCTTAGTAAGCGTCGGGGAGGTGGCGTCACCCCCGCCGACAGCCCCGCATCGACCACCGTCGGGGGCAACCACCGCGCGCCGAAGGCGCTCCGACCCCCGTCGCGGCGCGACGACGAGGCGAGGTTGACCCCGGTCGGGGGGTACCCCCCCACGCTTATTCAGAAACCCAGAGCACCGTGCGTCCTTACGATACTCAGCCACGCCCGGGGGGGTGGGGGGAGGGGGAGGACTTCTTAGAAGCACCCCTGCTTCTTAGAAGGCGCGGGCCTTATCTATAGATGTAAGGCCAGCGCCTTCTAAGAAGCAGCCTCCTTCCAAGAGGCCCTCCCCCCTCCACCCCCTTGTGCGCGCCGCCAAAAGACGTGTGTTAGCCCAATGTGTGTTTACACTGCTGAGCCTATGTCGGCTATCGTTACACCACCTTCGTCGTGTTGAAGGGCTTCGGTGGACCAGCACACGTTGGCGCTAGCACACGTTCTGAGGATCATCGACAGGCCACATGAAGGCCCACGTCCCAGGCTCGGCGGCGAGCGGGGTGCGGAAAGCGAGCCCCTTGTGCGCGCCGCCAATATTAAGAAACCCAGAGTACCGTGCGTCTTTACGATACGGGTTGTCTGTATCCCCTCGTGCGCGCCGAAGGGGCCCTTGTCGCTCTCGCCGCCGCCGCTGCTGGGGGCCTCCTTCTGCAGGGCAGCGGGGGGGGCGCGGCGCCCTCCCCCTCCTCCTCCTTCTCCTCCTCCTCCTCCTCCTCCTCGTCCGCTTGCAAAGAAGGTTGGGCTGGGTGTGTAAACATATTTATATTTACAAGTGTATGTATATATATATATATATGCACTCGTATGTACATATATGTATCCATATCTGTGTGTATGTCTGTACATATATACATCTGTATCTATACACATATATATATATACACATATATATATATATATCTACACGGGTAAGTGTGCCTAAATGTATGTGCATTGCCAGATGGCGTGGCGATCGCGCGAACGCAGATCATTCATGTGCTGTGTCCATGGGGGGGACTGCTTTGCTGCGTGCGTTTTTCCTCAATTGCACAACCTGGAACACAAATTGCCGCGTGGTTTCGCGCAGGGGGGGGAGCGCTCGCGATGGCGCGGCAGTCGGTTGGGTGGCGTCAGCGACGGCTTGGACGTCAATGCGTTCGCGATCACAAGGATCCGCCGGGCGCTTTGGGAGCCCCATCACTTGCATCACTCGCTGAGAGCAACGAGGCGATCATGAGAGACCAAGAGGCACGATCTGTTCGGCATTTTTTTTTTACACTGCAGCGTTCTCAGGGCCCTGGAGGCGCTCGGCTCGCGAAACTCAACGTCGGCGCCTGACAAGGAGATCCACTGGCAGTTTAAGTACTCACCAGAGACATGGGCGCAGTCTTCCGCGACGCGCAGGGCCAGATCGTGGGCGCGAGCGACGTGGGTGGAGCGGTGCGTTGTGGACATCCCCGCTGAGAACGATGAGATTGAGCGACTTGACTTCGCCTTTCGCAATGCTGTTGATGACGCAGCTCGCATACTTGTTGCGTCTGGCGCGCAGGAAGATGTCGGGGCTGAGTTGAGCCGGACAATTGGCGATGTATGAAGGCATCCTCACCAGCGACGCGCATCGTCGTGGAAATCTCATGAACATTTTTATATCGGGACTGCCGCAGCACCTTTCGGACAGCATTCTCAATCATGTCGCTGCTTCTGTCGTGGCGGGCAACTCCCAACGGCGGGCCGAGTGACGGGCCGGGCGCCGCGTTCACCGCTGAGCTCTCGCGTCGATTGGACGCGATGGGTGCTGGATTTGCGGCCATGGGCCGATGCCGGCATCAAGAGCGCCTGCCGTCTTCTGGGGAAAAAACGACGTCTTCCTCAGCAGGATGCCGGGCCCGGTCATGTCAGGGCGGGAAGCGCGCGCTTCTGCCCTTGCCCAACTGCAGGGGATCCAGACCCGCATTCTGATTTATGTTGGGAAAGCTTGCGGGGGGGGAACGGCGCGGCGTCTTCAGCGCGTCACGCATGGCGCCCGTCACCGAAGAAACCGCTTGTCGACGCTGGAGAATCCCGCACTCGAAAGTCAACATCGAGCAGCGTCAGCATTGGGCGAGAGATCCTCGCGACATATTGCTGACTGGGGGGCCTTTCTTGGCGCTGCGAGTGCGGGGGGGGGCGGGCGCGGGCTCGCCGTTGTCCATGAGCGGGGCCACCTATCCGAATGCGCACGTCCCCGGGCCCGCAGATTCGCCAGCGACATCGCTTCTTCGGGGCTTGGGAGGCGCTGGGCACGAGATGATCCTGGAGTTTGACCGCGCGCCCCGTCATTATCCCCCCCCCATGAGCTCGCTGAATTGCGCGCCCATCTGGGCCCGAAAATCATCCGAGCGAAATGGCATGAAATGCGCATCCCCTCCCGGCCACCTCAAGTCGTCGCTCACGAGCGAGCTGCTAGACCCCCGGGAGAGCCCCGGTTGGCCGATCTCAGATGCCTCGTCAAAGTTTGCCTGCGTGCGTTGTGCACTAAACGGCAGGTCCTGGTCCATCTGCAGAATCATCGCAGTCATCGGGCGGTCTTGGGCCAGGACGTCTGCCCTAAGCAGCGCTTCTCTTGCCAGAGCGTCTTCGGGAGCCGAAGCTCGCGCCTGCGCGCGCGCCGCCCGGAGTTTCCAGACTGGGGGTGCGCGTGCACTCCAGAGGCCTTCCATGCCAGTCAGCGTCGGAGGAGGGGGAGGAGGGGGAGGAGGGGGAGGAGGAGGAGGAGGAGGAGGAGGAGGAGGAGGAGGAGGAGGAGGAGGAGGAGGTCTACCTCGACATGTCCGCTCTGCGAGGCTCAAGAAGATCCTGCATCAAATCGACTTCGGCACATTCGTTCTCCTCCTGCCCTTCTGCCCGTCGCGGGCGACGGCGGCGGCGGCGGCCCCAGATTGGTTCATGCCACCCGCGGGGGGGTGCAAAGCTGAAGAAAAGCACGAATCCACGGGCGCCAAGAACTTGGCCAAGCTACAGGGTGCCTCCAGAGGGCCACGTATGGAACGCCTGTTTCCAAGGGTGGTCCCTGTTTAGGCCAGTGGATCCCCAAGCAGAGCCGCTGGTAGGCGCTGCCTCAATCGGTCTCAGAGCCAGTCGATGTGTGTATATATGTATATATACACATACATGTACATATGTATATATAATACGTATCCAATGCCTTTCCATACATTTGCTGATGCAGTTCATCCTTAGAATCATCGAACCAGGGGCTCGCACGTGCTCTTGTCTTGTCTCCTCCTCCCACTCCTCCTCCTCCTCCTCCTCCTCCTCCTCCACGTCCTCCTCCTCCTCCTCCTCCTCCTCCTCCTCCTCCTCCTGCTACTCTTCCTCCTCCTCCTCCTCCTCCTCCTCCTCCTCCTCCTCCTCCTCCTCCTCCTCCCCCTCCTCCGGTGCAGGATCCGCTACCCGCTGCTCCCCGACCCGGCGCCTGGCGCCGCGGCGGGCTAGCTGGGTGTCCGTGGCCGGGCCCGCGACGGACCCCCCTCGGGGCCGGGCGGACCTCGCGATCGGCGGGGCGGCGGCGGAGAAAAGTGCGGCGAGCCGCCGGCGGCGCGGCGGCGCGGGCCGTCCTCGGGGGTTTACTTAGTTGCTTCGCTCATTTCTGGGCCGCCTAGGTGGGGTCCGAGCAGATGGGGTCGGAGGATGGCGCCGCATCGCCGATGTATCACAAATGCGCCGGCGATGCGGCTCGATGTGGAGCCCGATTTTCCCCACGCCGACGGCGCCGATGCCTCGCCGACGTCGCCGATGCATCGCTGGTGCATCACCAATGCATCGCCGATGCATCGCCGATGTATCGGCGATGTGGCGCGATCCTCCGACCCCATCTACTCCGACCCCATCTAGGAGGCCTCTATCATTCCCCCGGCCCATATTGCCTCGCCGCTTGGGGGCCGTGTTGAGTCGTCTTTGGGGCCTCCTGGAGGCAGTTTTGATGTCTCCTCGGGGCCGTGTTGGGGCCGTCTTAGGGCCTCCTGGGGGCCTCTTGGGGCCTCCTGGGGTCTCTAGGGGCTGAAGGCTGGACTTTTGAGGTTCCTGGTCCCCGTCTTGGGCCTCGCTTGGGGCCATCTTGGGCGCATCTTGGGTTGTCTTGGGGCCATCTTGGGCCATCTTGGGCCGTCTTGGGGCCCTCTTGGAGACTTCTTGGACCGTCTTGGGGCTGTCTTGGGGGCCTCTTGGGCCGTCTTGGAGCGTTGGGAAGCCGGAAAGATGAGAAACGTCGCAAATGCGAAAAACGTACGTTTTCCGAAGGAAAGGGGTGATTTTTGCTTGTTGGGGCCTTCTTGGAGAGCCTCTTGAGGCTCTCCCGGGGCTTTTTCGCAACGTCTGCGGCCGTCTGGAGGCTATCTTGGGCGTCTTGGACGCGCCCAGAGGGGAGAACCATCTCTGAGTCGCACCGGCTGGGGTACTTTTCGTCCGGGGGTCCCCAGGGGCCGCCACGCGCGCGCGAACTAGAAATACTGTTAGCCTGTTATCAGAAATCTTAGCACGCCTCTGGCCTGTTGGGCAGGCGAATTTTCGAAGGCAAGAGAATAGCATAAACATAAACTTCCAGAGCTCTGGTGATCGTTTTATTGTTTTGCCGATCGGCACGGGCCCTTGCACCCCCTTGCCCCCAATGCAGTTGATCTTGGCTGTTTACGGCGCCGGTTTCAAGTAGGTGAGGTCTCCCAAGAGGGCGCACACTGTTGCAAGTGCAAACAGTCGCATGAAACAGGGGTCCCGAGCCAGCCACTCCCCCTCCCCCCCTCCGCCCAGCTTCGAAACGCCGAATAAGAAATCCGCGTAGAGATCCAACAGTTTATGTTTATGCAGTTGTTGTTGATTCTCTATGCTTAAGGGGGCAGCCTCAGGATCGCCTTTCTCAGGGGCCATCGTCGCCGGCGTCGGCGCCGCAAGCGTCGGCGTCGGCGTCGGCATCATCGTCGTCGGCGTCGCCGTCGCCGTCGGCGGCGGCGGCGGCGTCGGCGTCGGCGTCGGTGCCGTCGTGGTCGTCGGCGGCGTCGGCGGCGTCGTCGTCGTCGGCAGCGTCGGCGTTGGCGTCGGCGTCGTCGGCGGCGTCGGCGTCGGCGGCGGCGGTGGCGTCGTCGTCGTCGGTGTCGTCGTCGGCGGCGGCGTCGTCGTCGTCGTCGTCGGCGTCGGCGTCGGCGTCGGCGTCGGCGGAGGAGGAGGAGGAGGAGGAGGAGGAGGAGGAGGAAGAGGAGAAGAAGGAGGAGGAGGAGGTACTGGTGCCGCTGCCCTTCGCCTCTTTGGACCTCCGGGGAGGCACGCCTCGCCAAAGGCGGATTGGCCTTGAGATTCTGGCGGATTGGCGTCGAGATTCTGGCCAGAGCGCACCTCGGGATAGGTCTGGGATAGCGCTGTCAACGCTCTGCTTTCCTAGGGCTTGGCGGCGTCGTCCGCACCTTGCTTCTGCATGTCCGAGCTCCGTAGCTGCCTGCACGCCCTCCTGTGCTCAGCTGCGTTCATGCTCTTATGGACATTGCGCAGGTCTGACGAAAGCTTGAGAGGTCCCTTCCAATATGTGGTTCGCGTCGTGTCGACCGACGACGACCGCCACGAGCCCCTGCCGCGGAGGTGCGCAGCGAGTGCTCCCGCGAGCTCGCGAAGGCGGGCCGGCCCCCACCTGCCCCTGCGCCATCTTCCCGCCCCCCGCCCCCCCGTGCACGGAGGAGGAGGAGTAGGGGTAGGAAAAGGAGGAGGAGGAGGAGGCGGAAGCGAAATGGAGAAGAAAATGGAGGAGGAGGAAGAGGAGGGGGAGGAGGAGGCGGAGCAGGAGGAGGAGGAGGAGGAGGAGGAGGAGGAGGAGGTTTCACCCGCCCAGCTGCTGCTCGGTCAGCTGCTGCTGGTCCCGCTTGTGCCCGTGAGCGTCGTCGTCGTCGACGTCGTCGTCGTCGTTGTTGTCCTCTTCCTCGTCGCCGTCGCCATCGCCGTCGTCTTAGTCGTCGTCCTTCGCCTCCTCCTCCTCCTCCTTCCTCCTCCTCCTCGTCTTCCTTCTCGTTGTCGTGTTGTCGGCCTCCTCATCGTGTTCGCCGTCGGCGTCGCCGTCGCTGCCGCGGAGGTGAAGCGTGAGAAGGCGGAGCTGGAAAGACAGGCCCGACAGGACCCCGCGCGGCGCGGGGGCGGCGCGCCCATCTGGAGGGGGAGGGACGAGGGACGAGGAAGGACGAGGAGGGAGGGACGGGGAGGGATGGACGGGGAGGGACGGGGAGGTATGGACGGGGAACGGGAAACAAGGAGCGAGGGGCGAGGAGGGAGGGATATGGAGGGACGAGGAGACACGAGGAGGGACGGGGAACGGACGGACGACGAGGGAGGGAGGAGGACGGACGGACGACGAGGAGGGAAGGACGAGGACGGACGGAAGAAGAGGGAGGAGGAGGAGGAGGAGGAGGAGGAGGAGGAGGAGGAGGAGGAGGAGGAGGAGGAGGAGGAGGAGGAGGAGGAGGGAGGAGGGAGGAGGACGGAGGACGGAGGACGGAGGACGAGGAGGAGGAGGAGGAGGAGGACGGACGGAGGAAGAGGAGAGAGGAGGACGGACGGACGGACGAGGACGAAGAGGAGGAGAAGGGAGGAGGACGGGCGAGGAGGAAGGGACGAGCAGGAAGGGACGAGGATCAGAGTGGAAGCATCTGTATGCGTAAACACGGACTTTGGACGGTCCGCGCGGATTTCTTGCGTCGGCGCTGGGCCTCCCCTGGCAGCGCCTCCGGCCCCTCGCCCCTGGCGCGCTCCGCGCGGCAGGGAGGGAGGGCCGGCGCGGATCCGAGAACACCCCGGGCAGACCTCCCTGGAGTGTGTGAGTGTGTGTGTGTGTGTGTGCCCATCCGCACCCGGCTCGGTCCCCCCTCAGGTCAGCGGCGAGCGAGGGGGGGGGGAGCGAGCAGGGGCAGGTTTCTCAGAAGGCGGCGGGACTTCGCAGAAGCCCTCGCGCCTTCTGAGAAGTTCTCTGCGTCTTTGGGGAAGGCTCAGAAAACTTCTCAGAAGGCCGGGGGGGTTCCTGGCCTTCTCACTTCCCCCCCGGGCTCGCCGCCGATTCGGGAGGGAGCGGGAACGAGGCAGGAGGGCCGAAGAGCGAGGTACGAGGCAGGAGGGAGCGGAGAACGACGCAGGAGTGTCGAAGAGCGGCACGCTCAGGGCAAGGTTTGTGCCGGCACTTGGTGCAGAGGCAGTTAGTCCCTGATGCACGCGTGGGCGCCGGCATGGCATACGAGGAGGGCCAGCGCAACGGAGTGGCAGGACAACGGGGCGAGAGCATGGCACCGCACAGGACGGGACCAGCGCCGGAAGCGAGGCGCTTGCTGTCCAGGGAGAAGCAGAAGACCCTCCAGCCCCCTTTTCCCTCTTCTGCGGCCTGACTGCACCATCCAGGCCAGCAGAGGGCGTCATGGGGGCGCGAGTACTTCCGAGGCCACGCCAGAGAGGAAATCTGCCTGCGGACTGCGAGTCGTCTTTCGTGGCGCTCGGACCCCGCAGCGGCGGAGAGAGGGGTGAAGTCGTCGCGCGGCGGCCCGTGCCCATGGCGGCCGCTGCGAGTGGAAGAGTTTGGGAGGTGGGTGCCGCTCGGTTTCTTCTTGCCGCAAGGAGTCCCGACCCACCAGGAGGAATCGGAGAATTCGGGGGTGAGCACCGTGGCTCGCAGGGTCACGAGGGACCCTTCAGCCGAGGCTACGCGAAGAACGAGAGGGATATATATATAGAGAGAGAGAGAGAGAGAGACAAAAAAACAAAAAACAAAAAAAAGAGGGAGGGAGAGAGGGAGGGAGGGAGGGAGGAAAGACGAGAGAGAGGGAGAAAGAGATAAAGAGAGAGATAATCAAAGGGACAGCAGGGAGAAAGAGAGAGAGAGAGAGAACAAACAAAGAAATAGATAAAGAAAAAGGGAGAGGTAATCAGTGATAGGGAGAGAGTGACACAGAGAGAGAGAGAGAGATAAAGAGAGAGAGAGAGAGGGAGAGGAAGAGAGAGAGAGAGAGAGAGGGAGAGAGAGAGGGAGGAGGCATGTCGAGGGTCGAGGTAAGGTCGAGGGCCACGAGGGCCGAACTGAGGCCGCCAGCGTCAGCCGTCGTGACGAGGCGGGAGCTGGAATGCGCACGCTTGAACGAAGGAGGGAAGGAGGGAGGATGAGCACGAGGAGCAGGGCGAAAAGCCGGCGAAAGCTTGTCACGAGGATGGAGGAGGAGGCGGGAGGGGAGAGGGAGGAGGACGAGGAGTGAGCGAGGGGGAGGATGAGGAGCAGGAGAAGGAGGGGGAGGAGGAGGAGGAGGCGGGGAGGGGGGAGGGAGGAGGAGGAGGAGGAGGAGGAGGAGCGTGCGAGGGGGAGGATGAGGAGCAGGAGGAGGAGGGGGAGGAGGAGGAGGAGGAGGAGGAGGAGGAGGAGGAGGAGGAGGAGGAGGACAGGGGAGGAGGAGGAGGAGGAGGAGGAGGAGGAGGAGGAGGAGGAGGAGGAGGAGGAGGAGGAGGGAGGAGGACGTGGGAAGAGGAGGGAGGCGGGAGGATTCGGAGGAGGAGGATGAGGAGGAGGAGGAGGAGGAGCAGTAGCAGACGGAGGAGGAGGATGAGGGAGGAGGCGGAGGAGGTGGAGGTGGAGGATGAGGATGAGGATGAGGAGAGGATGAGGATGAGGATGAGGATGAGGATGAGGATGAGGATGAGGATGAGGATGAGGATGATGTGATGATGATGATGATGATGCTGATGATGATGATGATGATGATGATGATGATGATGATGATGATGATGACGATGACGATGCTGATGCTGATGCTGATGCTGATGCGATGTGATGATGATGATGATGATGATGATGATGATGATGCTGATGATGATGATGATGATGATGATGATGATGATGATGATGATGATGATGATGATGATGATGATGCTGATGATGATGATGATGATGCTGCTGCTGCTGCTAATGATGATGATGAGGAGGAGGAGGAAGAGGAGGAGGATGAATGAAAAAAGAGAAACAGGAGGAGGACGAGGAGAACGAGGAGGAGGAGGCGCATTCATATTACGAGGAGGAGATGGAGGATAAGGAGGAGGAAGGGGATGAGGATGAGGAGGAGGAGGAGGAGGAGCAGAAGGGAAACGGCAGGAGGGAGGAAGGTTGAGGAAGGAGAAGGAGAAGGAGAAACAACAATGAGGGAGGAATGAATGAGGAGGAGGCGACGGATGAAGAGAATAGGAGGATGATATGGGTGAGGAAGAGGAGGAGGTGGAGGAGGAAGAAGAAGAGGAGGAGGAGGAAAAGGAGGAGCAGCATGAGCAGCAGAAACACCAGGAGCAAGAGCAAGAGGAGGAACAGGAGGAGCAGGAACAGGAACAGGAGCAGGAGGAAGAGGAAGAGCAGGAGGAGGAACAGACTGAAGCAGGAGAAGGAGGAGGAGGGGGAGGATGGAGGAAGATGGGAGTAGGGAGGAGTCCCTGAGGACTTGATGGCTGTCGGAATCAAACCAGACACATCGATATTCATGCAGATCCATCGACGTACATTCTGGTGCATCCAAAGCAATGCAGCGATCGCCAAGGACATTAGAAGCACATCGTGGCCTCTTCAGCGCGAGTGGAGGGATTGTGAAGTTGTTGAGCCCTTAACCAAGGAGGGAGAGAGGAGGGAGGAGAAGCAGGAAGGAGGGAGGAGATGCGGTGCGTTCAGAGCGTCTGCCCACAGGATGGCTCAATTGCTCTCGCGACCTCTGTGGCCAGCCGAGCGGGAAGGGAAGCAAGGCAGGGAGGGGGAAGGAGGGAGGCAGGAGGGAGGGAGGCGGGAGGAGGGAGGAATGATTGAGGGAGGAGGAGGAGGAGCAGGAGGATTTCCATGATTTCCGCCATCCCGTAGGGAAATGAAGGCTGAGCTCAGTCACCTGCAATAGGGTGCATGACTCTTGAGACCCGTCTGGGGCGCCCCACTCACGAGGTGAAGTCGCCGACACACACTTCCCGCCGTATGATGTCGAGGAGACGATTCCCTTCAACAGAGCAAGCAACGGACGTGCCCACAACTCCTTACTCCAGAACATGAAACTGCATTAGTGAATTGAGGCCTGCAGCAACATGGACTTTCTGCCACGAAATACGGAAGAAATACCTTTCCACCTTCTAAGCTGGCATGCTGCTGACTCGATACGACTCTTGTCGCGCACAGTGGCGCGGTCATCGAACTACCTCCCGAAGAGATCGCCAAGACCACCACCAGCCTCGGTAGCGAAATAGATATACAACCATGCCCCGAGGAGCAACCCGCAGCACGCTCCAAGCACTGAAAACTGAATTTGAACGTTGCAATACAATCCAGTTGTGGATGCAGAAGCGGCAATGGCAGCTGAGCCCCTGCAGAGGACGCTTGAGAAAGACGGTGAAGCAGAAATTAAACCGCCGCCGAAACTCCACGATTTACAGACATGCAGAGACCGTAGAATGCACGAGGAAGCCACCAATTGTATACAACCAGATTGTGGATACCGAGGCACTCTATAGCAGCAGGGCCCATACAGCATACGCCTGAGAGATGACAGTGAAGCAACATAAGTAACTTCCCGCCACAACTCCCCGATTTACCAGCTGACATAGGCCACCACTGCAACCACGGCGGGGAATGCTAGCCACGCCAGGGCTCGTCCCGCAGACAGAGACTGAGCACCAAAACCATGGCGAAATTGAATTGCACAAGGAACGCCACCAACTGCAGACAATCCAGACGGTGGATACCGCGGCACTCAATAGCAGCTGAGCCCACAGTAGCCGCCTGAGAAATAGACGGTGAAGCAGAATAGCTGACATCGCCGCCAAAACTCCACGATTCACAGCCTGACATAGACCACCACTGCACACCACGGCGGGGAATGCTAGCCACACCAGGGCTCGTCCCGCTTGGAGAACAGGACTTCCACGCAAAACGAACTGATTTGCCCAGATCTTGCCAACGCTTACCTGACAGAAGCCGACGAAAACCGTAGAACTCCAGTCGTGAGGCGTGCCCTTCAAGCGCCACGAGGAGGCATTGGGCGGGAGCTTTGAGCACAATAGAGCCAAAAGATGGTACTACGGGGCTCGGGCCCCTCGTGCTTGATAGGAGGAGGAAGGAGGAAGGAGGAAGGAGGAGAGAGGAAGGATGGAGAGAGGAAGGGAGGAGAGAGGAAGGATGGAGAGAGGAGGGAGGGAGGGAGGGAGGATGGATGGGGGGAGGATGGAGGAGGAGGGAGGGAGGATGGAAGGAGGGAGGCAGGCAGGTGCACGCAGGCCGCCGAGGGAGCTGGGCGGGGAGCCCGCTGCGGCGCGCTTCGCCGCACGCTGCGGCGCGTGCGGGCCGCCGAGGAGACGCTGCGCCTGCAGCAGCTGCTGCGCGACGCGGGGATCGAGGACAAGGTGCGCCCACCTCTCGGCATCCGTGCCCCGCTCGGTCCCCCTCTCTGTCCCTTTCTCTCGTTCTCGTTTTTTTTTTTTTTCTCTCTCTCTCTCTCTCTCTTTCCCTCTCTCTCTGTGTCTCTCTCTCTCTCTCTCTCTCTCTCTCTCTTATCGATGCTATCTATGCATATATATATGTATATATATATATATATATATATATATATATATATCAGAGTGAGGGGGCCGAACGGTCATTCACTGTCCCTGGGTGCGTGGCTGAAGTGGAATTCCGCGGTGCGGATTCTCGTTGTTGTTGTTGTGTTGTTTGTTGTTGTTGTTGTTGTTGTTGTTGTTGTTGTTTTGTTGTTGTTGTTGTTGTTGTTGTTGTTGTTGTTGTTGTTGTTGTTGTTGTTGTTGTTGTTGTTGTTGTTGTTGTTGTTGTTGTTGTTGTTGTTGTTGTTGTTGTTGTTGTTGTTGTGTTGTTTGTTGTTGTGTGTCGTCGTCCCACCCGCGACCCACCCGCGCGACCCACCCCGCGACCCACCCCGCGACCCACCCGCGACCCACCCCGCGACCCACCCCGCGACCCACCCCGACCACCCCGCGACCCACCCGCGACCCACCCGCGACCCACCCCGCGACCCACCCCGCGACCCACCCGCGACCCACCTTCGACCCAAACCACGTTCAAGGTACAAACCACCATTTTCGGCGCCTGCGGCGGGTTTTTTTTGCATTCCTTCCAGGTGGAGAGCCCGCGACCCACCCCGTGACCAACTCGCGACCAACCCGCGATCCAAACCACGTTCAGGGTACAAACCACATTTTTCGGCGCCTGCGGCGGGCATCTTTTGCATTCGTTTCAGGTGGAGAGCCCGCGGGCCATCCGCGACCACGTTCAGGGTACAAACTACACGTTTCGGCGCCTGCGGCGGGCATCTTTTGCATTCGTTCCCGGTGGAAAACCCGCGGCCCACCCGCGACCCAAACCACGTTCAGTGTACAAACCAATTTTTGTTGGCGCCTGCGGCGGGTGCTTTTGCATTCCTTCCAGGTGGAGGTGGAGAGCCCGCGACCCACCCGCGACCTAAACCACGTTCACTGAACAAACCAATGCCGCACAAACGCCGGCGGCGGATTTTCGCATGCCGTCTGAGCCCGCAAGGACCTCTTCAAGCCCCGCGCATCCACACCAGCCCGTCCAGCAACTTTGCCCTGGCGAGTTGCCTTGATCAGAGAAGGCGGGAAGCATAAAGTGGAAAAAATGACTGCGTTGCAGTTATCTTGGGAAAGGAGGGGGAGGCAGGAGGAGTAAACAGGGGACGAGGAGAACGCGGCAGAAGAGAGGATGTAAGGATAATGTGGAGAGAGAAAAGGAAGAGGAGCAGGAGGACGAGGAGGGGAGGAGGGGGAGGAGGGGAAGGAGGGGGACGAGGAGGGGGAGGAGGGGGAGGATGATGATGATGGACGACAATGGGAGGACGATGATGGAGGCCGATGAGGGGGAGGACGACGATGGGAGGACGATGATGAAAGGACGAGGGGGGGAGAGGGAGGACGAGGAAGAACAGGAGGAGGAGGAGGGAGGAGGAGGAGGAGGACGATGACGATGACGACGAGGACGAGGAGGAGGAGGAGAATATCGCCATCGACAGGGAAGGTGGGGGCCACGAGGTCCGCCGGCTCGACAACGCCCGCGTCGCCCGCGCCCGCCCCCTCACTCTTATCCGCAATTGCGGGGTGCGATATATATATATATATATATATATATATATATATGTATCAGGGTGAGGGGGCCGAACGGTCATTCATTATCCCTGGGTGCGTGGCTGAATTGGGGATCCACGGTGAGGATTATGTTTGTTGCGTTGTTGTTGTTGTTGTTGTTGTTGTTGTTGTTGTTGTTGTTGTTGTTGTTGTTGTTGTTGTTGTTGTTGTTGTTGATGTTGCTGTTGCTGTTGCTGTTGTTGTTGGTGTTGTTGGTGTTGTTGGTGTCGTTGTTGTTGTTGTTGTTGTTGTTGTTGTTGTTGTTGTTGTTGTTGGAAAAGGCGCGCGTGGGAGCCCCGGCCGCCCCCCCCCCCAGCAACCGAGCAACCCTCTCTGGGGTCCTGGGGGCGCCAAGGATTCCCTAATAGGAGTTCCTAGGAATTCGATCGGCTTCCATGAGAATTCTATAGACATCCTTGGGAATTCGATCGGCCCCCATCGGAATTCTATAGGCTTCCATCGGAATTCTACAGGTCCCCATGGGAATTCTATAGGCTTCCATAGGCATGAAGGCATCGGCTCGGTTCGGTCCGGTTCTGCAGCCGGGTCGGTTTTGCTTGGCCGGTTCGGTTTGGCATCGGTCCGGTTTCGGCCGGTTCGGCTTGGGCCTGCCGCCGGTTCGGTTCGGTTCCGGTTTTCGCGCGGTTGGGTCCGACCGGTTCGGTTCGGTTCGAGTGGCCGCTCCGGTTCGGTTCGGCCCGACTGGTCAGGTGCGACGTTGGGCGCCCCGTCTGCGTAAGCGACGACCCAGTCTGAAAAAAAGGGAGGGAGGATGGGGGCGGAGGAGGAGGACGAGGAGGAGGAGGAGGAGGAGGAGGAAAACGAGGAGGAGGAGGAGGAGGAGGAGGAGGCGTAGGAGGGAGGAGGAGGACGACGAGGAGGAAAAGGAGGAGGAGGAGGAGGAGGAGGAGGAGGAGGAGAAACATGGAGGCGTGGAGGCGCGAGGCCCTCAAGCGACGTGCCCCGACGGGGGTCGCAGCCCCGAGGGGGGTCGCAGCCCCGAGGGGGGTCGCAGCCCCGAGGGGGGTCGCACCCGCGAGGGGGGGCGCGCCCGCGAGGGGGGTCGCGCCCGCGAGGGGGGTCGCGCCCGCGAGGGGGGTCACAGCCCGCGAGGGGGGTCGCACCCGCCAGGGGGGTCACAGCCCGCGAGGGGGGTCGCACCCGCGAGGGGGGTCACAGCCCGCGAGGGGGGTCGCACCCGCCAGGGGGGTCACAGCCCGCGAGGGGGGTCGCACCCGCGACTGGTCTATGCATAGCGCAATTTTTCAATTTTTCACCCCGCGGAGTGCTGGGCGCCCCAGACACGCGCGCACACGCACGCTATGCGCGCACATGCATACGTACATACAGACATACAGACAGACAAACAGACAGACATACCGACAAACAGACATACATACTATGTATGTATATAAATACACTTATACATGTATATATATATATATATTCTTATAAACACACATTATATGCGCCCAAACACGCGCGCACACGCACGTTTTGCGCGAACATGCATACGTGCATACATACATACAGACAGACAAACCGACAAGCATACTGAGAAACATACATACACACATACATACAGACATACAAACATACATTTGTGTGTATATATATACATGTATACACATACATACAACAATGAGAGCACTGACGCGAGACACGATAAATAAAGCAAACAACTCACTGTTCTCCAAAAAGGGCGTTCTGCCGCGATGTGGTTTTCGATTCGGCGCCCGCCCCCTCTGCCAAACTGCCCAACGACGCATATATGCATATGAATATATCTATATATATATATGTATATATATGTATACATATATACATATATATATACACCCATGTAGATGTGCGCGTGTATATATATATATAAATAGTTAATGTGTATGTGTACAAAAGAACGTACGTTGAATAGCGCAGTACTACAATGCGCTACCATTGTCCTACGAATGTAGCATGACATGCTGGATATTCGAGTAATTCACCGTGGAGGGCTCGCTTGATGTTCCAAGCCAACATCATGGCGACTGTTCGCATGTGGACACGACCAAACTCCACGCGCGCGCGAATGACGCGCGTCACTTGCGCGCGCCGCTCGCCATGTGACTATTGGCAACGTTTGCTTATGAGGCGAAAACCATCTTAATTATTAGACCAAATATGTGACCATAGTTCCCAGGCCACCACGGCGAAAAAACGTCGAAAACAACGCATGTTAACTAAAATCCAATCTGTCACCGTTAAGGGTTCACTTTAGTTTCCAGACCAACATGGTGGCTTTTCCATTTCGGACAATCCAAACTTCGCCACGCGCGCGTCCGCGCGCGCGCGCGATCGGGTGGCCCACGCGCGGGCGGGTCACCCGAAATCCCGTTGGGCACCGTTAAGCGTTCATTTTAGTTCCAAGTCAACATGGCGACTTTTCCATTGTGGGCATTGCAGAACTCGCCACGCGCGCGCCCGCTTGCGCGCGCGATCGGGTGACCCACGCGCGGGCGGGTCACCCGAAATCCCGTTGGTCACCGTTAAGGGTTCACTTCAGTTCCAAGCCAACATGGCGACTTTTCCATTGTGGACACTACAGAACTCGCAGCGCGCGCGTTCGCGCGCGCGAGCGCGCGCATGGCGATGTTTGTATTGTGAGTGAACGCATACATAGAACCACACACCCACATGTATTTGATTAGAGGCCCCCCACCGACGTATATGCATACATCTGTACATATACAGTGTGCACACGCGTACGCAAACAACACATGTATGCAAATCTGGATATGCATGTGCACCATTACATACACACGCACACATCTGTATATACATAAAAATGTATACATGTGTGTGTACATACATATGTATTATGGGTATCGAAGATCAACAGGTCAGAAAGGAGGAGAACAACAAGTGTGAATAGGGTTTTAGAACAGATAACACACATACCGAACAACAAAATATGAACAACGAAAAAGGGTACAACTGAGTCCGCGCGTGTGTGGTTAAACGATAATGCGCCATTTTGTGAAGGTCATTTGTTGCTTCTGTATGAATGACTGTCCGTTTCGTTCTGGGTGATCTGTGGTTGAATCTAGTCCCGTGGTGCATTATGGCTCGAACTTTTTTCCTCTTTGCATTCTCACCACTTGCTGTTCTCTGTTTCCCTTTCTTTGCTTTTGTTCCCATGGAACGAGCTAATATCGCAGAACGGGATGGCAACGACCAGATCCCTGTCACGGGCACCCTGACGCTAGATCTCG